AAGCAGACATTCCGAAAGTAATTGCTCCTAAGCCTAAACCGATAATATGAACGGTTATATGATAAGTAGGAATTTTTTCGGCAGCTGAAAGTGGAAGGAAGTGACACATGCTATTAGTCATAGGGAAAATAGCTAAATTGTGAATAATCATTTCAGATGGAGTATAGGGATCGATATAATTTAGGAAGAGACCAGATTCAGGATGAGCGATTGTAGTGTTTTTGGAGAATATATTTTCAGAAAACGTATGAAATACAGTGAGCAAGAATATCAGTAAGAAGAAAAGAGTCATTCTGGAGTTATGAAACGTAGTACTTACAACGTGTTGTTTTTCTTTTATTTTTGCTTGTTCGATTTAGACTTATATCCTTTTTTTGATTATTTCGGCTATTTATTATAACCGTAATATCAGTGAAGAAACAAAAACAATGTGTGATAGTGTAAGGAAGATGAAAAAGTGGATGAATGACCCGCTATGGATAAGTTAGAGAGAGGGAGAGATTTAATTTCTCTTTTTTTTTTGAATGCAGTGCTTATCCGACTGATAAGTTATATCTAATGATGAATAGGATTGGTGAAAGAGAGTGAAGGATGGGGTCAACAATAAATGTACGATTGATCATTGAACTCTTAACAGACAACTGCTTAACAGACATATTGCAGATTGATGGAAATATCTGCAAGATTAGAAACATGTTTGACAGTTGAAATATACACAGTGTCTAATGTGATAGTTTTGCAATGGATCGAAGCGAAGGTCATTCTTTCTCAGTGTGACCGGATATATAGGAAAGGAAAAGGTTATTTAATGAACATTGCATGAACGGGAGGTCATTGTTATGATATAGATGGTGCTATAGATTCAATCGGTTAGGTCGTCTATGTATTCGAATCGGACGTTGATATAATAGTGGACGGAGAGAGGTCATCATTGTTTGACGGGCGCGAAGGAATCATATTTATAGCATTGCTTGTATCGATACTCATCAATGGTTGTGGGTGTGTATTTAAAGTTTGATCTGGTGTATTTCGTGTATTGTTGACACGAATATCATTCGGTTCATAAAATGGTTTAAGTCGATCAATGTTGGCGACTCCTAAATTTACTCCGTCAGAGAGACGCTGAATAATAAAAGAAGAGGGAGTAAGAACTTGAGTGATGTGACAAGGACCTTGATACTGAGGATCAAGTTTTCCATGTTTTAATACTGAAGGAATGCTAACCCAAACAAGTTGTCCTTCTTTAAAAGAACGTTTAAAACTATGACTGTCATACTGATGTTTCTGCTGAAATTTGCATACTTCACTATGTTCTTGAGCAAATTGATGAGATGTAAGTAATTGATGACGAAGTTGTTGTTTATAATTTTCGATTTCTGAGGATAGAGATGTGGGAAGTAGAGGTACATCATGAGTCGGTGTGGTTAGGAGTAGGTGTGGAGGTAATTTAGGATCACGTCCAAAATTAAGATATGCTGGTGTATCACCTGTTGTTTCATTTACTGAAGTTCGAATAGAAAAAGCAAGTTTCGATAGATGTTGATCCCATGATTATGGATTTTCTTGAGCATATTGTGCTAACATTGGTTTAAGATTTCTATTGACTCGTTCAGTCATATTTGTCTGCGGATGATAATTAGAAGTATTTTTATTTTTAATGCCTAGGGACGAACAGATATTAGTGAATAGTTCAGAAATGAACTGGGGACCATTATCGGAAAGAATATAGGTAGGACAACCCCAACGACATATAATTTCATTAACTAGGATATTAGCGATATCAGATGAAGTCGTTGTTCTAAGAGGAAATAGTTATACCCATCGAGTAAAATAGTCAACAACTACCAGTAAGTATTGTTTTTGACGCTGTGTAATAGAAAACGGTCCCATAATATCCACTCCAATAGTATGCCATGGTTCTCGAACGATGTGCATTTGTAATGGAGAGTTCATTATTTGATTAGAATATTTGAATTTCTGACATGACTGACAACTTTGAATATACTGAGTGACATCTTTTCGCATAGTATCCCAGTAGACTCGGCTTGAGAGACGATAAAGAGTTTTTTCTCTACCACTATGTCCGGCTGTCGGATGATCATGTGTCCAAGATAGGAGTTCTTGTTGCATAGATTTCGGAATAACGAGTAAGTGAGGAAGTCCGACTGATCGTTGATAGATATTTTTTGATGGAGATCGACATTTATAGAGAATACCGTTAATTAGAGTAAAAGAGGGATAGAGATTATTAATGAAGGGATGACTGAGACCTGATAATTTATCAATGATAATATGAAGGTGAGGGTCTTTATATTGTTCGATTCGGATATTTTCGAGGAGAGTACAATTATCCCAAAAATTGAGTGTAGATATAGGTGTTGTTCCATTTAACACAGCTAGATTAGAGAGAGGATAACGAGATAATGAATCAGAGTTTGTATTTGTTTTTCCTGGTTTATATTTGATGCTAACAATGTTAAATGCTGATAGACTTATTGCCCATCGAGCTAATCGTCCAGACGAATCTTTTGTTTCAAGAAGCCATTGTAGTGCCCTACAATCAGATCGAATATAGCTTTTTGTACCTTCTAAATAGGGCCGAAAATGTTTGGTGGCCCAATAAATAGCTAGAGCTTCTTTTTCTGTAGGAAAATAATTTCTCTCAGCTGTTGTTTGAGTTCGGCTAGCGTAAGCGATAACAAATTTTTTATTATCATATTCTTGAGTAAGGACAGCACCAAGACCATAATCACAGGCATCTGTTTCCAAAATGAAAGGTTCATTAAAATTTGGACCTCGAAGTATAGGAGCCTGAGTAAGTGCAGTTTTTAATTGTTCAAAGGCTATAGTACATTCAACAGACCATTCTATGTTATTTGGTGAACGTTTAGATTTTTGATGAGAACGTATTTTAGCGTAATCTTTTATAAATTTTCTGTAGTATCCAGTTAAGCCTAAAAATGATTGAATGTCTTTTAATCGTGTAGGTTGAGGAAAAAGTTTCACGGAGTCGATTAGACCGGGATCAGGTTTAATACCGTCAGGAGTAATAATATGTCCTAAGTACTTTAATTCTTTTCTACAATAATCACATTTTGAGGCTTTAAGAGTAAGTCCAGCAGGTTTTGAGACGATCAAAGACAGAGGATAAATCTTTAAGATGTTGTTCAAAGGTGGAAGAGAATACGACAATATTATCTATATAGACAAGACATGACTGCCATTTTATTCCAGCTAAGATAAGATCCATTAATCTCTGAAATGTGGCAGGAGCATTAGACAGTCCAAAAGGCATGACTAAAAATTCATAGAGGCCGCGATGAGTAATAAACGCTGCTTCCCTGAGTGAATCAAGGGTATCGTCAACTTGAGGCATAGGATATGCTGTACGAATTGTATTAGCATTCAACTTTCGATAATCAACACAAAATCTGAGTGTACCATCTTTTTTAGGGGATAATACGATTGGAGATGTCCAAGGACTATGTGAAGGAGTAATATGACCAGCTTGGAGCATCTCTTCTAGTTGTTGATCGACTATAGCTTTTTTAGATGGGGGGAGACGATATGGTTGAGTGTTTGCGGATTGTGTTCCTGGTTGAAGTTCGATTACGTGTTTAACAAGATGAGTCCGACCAAGTTTCTCGGTGAAAACTTGTGGATATTGTTTAATAAGTGTAACTAGTTTAGCTTTTTGAATATCGTTTAAGTCAGAATAGGATAAATCAAGGAGACATATTTGTTCTTCTTCAATAGGATGAGGTGTATAAGATAATCTTGATAAGCTATTCAATTGATGTTCAGTCAATAGTTCCATAACGGCTAGTTTTTGTTGAGGATGAACCTCGATAGAATCATGAGAAAAATTTGAGATTTCAATAAAAAGTGATTTACTTGGTGTGAGATAAGACCATTGCCTACACAAGGATTTTCATGAAGTGAAGAAACGGAATATGTTTCATCTGGAGAAAATTTAGAGAATGGTTTCGTAGGTTTAACAGGGATAATCATAGAGTGGTATGGAGGTAAAGAATGTGCTTCAATAGCTGCTAAAGAGTATGATGACGAATTGGAAGAGGTAAGAGAAGAAGTGTTATACTGATCGAGAGATGGCAATTGAGATGCAAAAGAATTTGTATCTTGTGACTGCTTCGGAAAAATAATTTGATCGTGTGTACCGCCGACATGAATATCATGTTTTCGTAAAAAATCCAAGCCGATGATACAGAAATGTTGTAGATGGGGTACACTGTAAATTTTTTTGAAATTCTACTTATTGGAAAATCGATCTCAAATAAGCTGAAGCATTTTTAAAGTGTTATGATTTATTCATTGAATTTTGAATAATTCAAAAATGCTTGATTTTCCAATTTGTAGAAATTGAATTTGATTTTCGAAAAAATTCATTTTCGAAAGAAATCGAAAATCAACACTGATTGTGAATAAAATTCGAAAATCAATTTCGATTTGAACAATATTATTTTAACAATGACCGCTATAGAGTCATTGTTCATTCATATATATAAGCCGGCGGATAGTGTTATGCATTCATTATATTCTTCGGCAATTGGTGAGTTGATAAATTATATTTTATATGAATGAAATGCTACGATATTATTTCATTTTAAATTATTTTATTATTTATGTATGTTAACCTGATGCATTTATATAAATTAAATGTTATGATATTATTTATATTTAAATTATAATTATTTATGCATGTTATTCGATGCATTTATGTAAATTAAATGTTATGTTATTATTTATATTTCAATTGAAATTATTAATTTATGTTATTTGATGTCTTTATATAAATTAATGTGATGATATTATTTATGTTTAAATTAAAATTATCTATGTATGTCATTTGATGTATTTATATGAATTAAATGCTATGATATTATTTCAATTTAAATTATTTTATGATTTATTTATGTTATCTGATGCATTTATATAAATTAAATGTTATGTTATTATTTATATTTAAATTATAATTATTTATGTGTTTCATATGATGCATTTATATGAATCAAATGCTATGATATTGTTTCCAGTTAAATTAAAATTATTAATTTATGTTATGTAATGGATTTACATAATTTAAATCTTATGTTATTATTTATATTTAAATTACAATTATTTGTGTATGCTATTTCATGTATTTATATAAATTAAATGTTATGTTATTATTTATATTTCAACTAAAATTATTAATTTATGTAATTTGGTGCATGTATATTAATTAAATGTTGTTATTATTTAAGTTTAAAGTTAAATTATTTATGTATGTTATCCAATGCATTTATGTAAATAAAATTAAATGTTATTATTTATATTTAAATTAAAATTATTAATTTATGTTATTTGATGCTTTTATATGAAGTACATGTTTATAATATTATTGTCTAGTTTACAGTGTACATGATGAAGAGAAAATCAAATTTGATTTTCTAGTTTTTAGAATATGCTCGAATTGCTATATCGAATCCGAAATTCTAGGAATGCCTATATGAATTCACTCTCGATTTTCTAATTAGAAAATCAAAGTTCATATTTTTAATGTTTCGAATATCTTATTTTCAAGAATTTAGAAATTCATCGGCGAATTCATATAGGCATTCCTAGAATATCCTCGATTAAACTCTATAACTCATTTTCTAGTTTACAGTGTAGAATATAAACTGGATGTAAAAATGTCTTATTGAAAAAAGAAATGTTCAATTCGAAGAGACCGTGTGTACGTAAAGATTGTCCATTAGCACAACGTACTGTTAGGGATGGAGATTTAATAGGGATAAGTTTGCATGGCTTTTGCTCGATTTGATGAAATGCCTCAACACTAAGTACAGTTAAATTCGAGCCAGTGTCAATAGTAAATTTTGTTGGGTACCCTTCTAAAGTACCATTGACATGTAATAGTTGGGAAGAAGAAATGAAAGAATTATGGATAGAACTAATAGAGAGAGAGGATTTTTTATTTAGATAATTTTCGGAGCCCCGCCACCTCCCATCAGTAAGACTCCATCTTAGTTTTTTGAATTTGAAGGATATCTGGAAGATTGAGTACGAGTACATTGGGATGCTAAATGTCCTGGAATATTACATTTATAGTAGATAATATGAGATTGACGAGAATTAGATGTGTGGGAGCGAGTTGACGAATGAAGAGTAGCTGAAATAGTAGTATTAGATTTTTCAATATGCACAGTTTGTTTGGAACGGGAAAAATCAATAAGTTCAGCTTCTCGGGCTCGCTCAAGAAAATTTTCAAGAGTAGGATCGCTAAGAACACCGATCAGAGGGACTAATGCATGTCGAATTTTAGTAAAAAGGTGTCTAACAAGATGGCGCTCCGTTTCGTTCGGTTTATGTTCTGACCAAAGACTGCGTAAACGAACGAGAAATTCGTTGATTGATTCATCAGGTCGTTGAATGCATATATTCCATTCTTGCTCGATTCGAGTATACCAGTCAAAAGCAGTACCTTTCAAAAATTGGCCCATATTTTGAAGTAACATTTCTTTGTCCCATCCATAAGATGAGTTGGTATATTGATGGAGTTGTAAGAGGAGGAATGGACGTAGTTTTTCTTCAGTTTTGCCTGAAAAAGAAGGAGCTATTGTAGGTTGTTGGATGATGACTGTTTGTCGTGCAGAGAGAGAGAGTAAGGTGTCTTGTGGAGAAGGACCATTTAGTAAAGAATGAGAGTGTATGGAGTTATTAGAAGAAGAGGGAGGTAATGGAGTTGTTGGAGAGGGTACGGATGGGAAGGACGAACAGCAGCAAGTGTTGCACGAATTTCAGCCGTTAATTCGAATATTTGTGTAGAAACATAAGTACGAAAGTCCTGAAATTGAGTATCTAGGTGTTTGAATCGTGTCATCTAATTGCTGATATTTTAATTCATGAACCCGTGGAGAGATGATTTACTTTCTCATTGAAATTCTGTTCGAATTGAGTTACGGTGGACTGTACGGTGGTCAACTGGGTTTCGATAGAAGTTGTGCGTGTTGCTTCAAGTTGTAGTTCATCTCGAAGATTAGTGAGATATTTATGTAATTTCTGCCCGTCAGACTCGGTCATAGTTAAAATAGGATCGTGCTAACGTAAGACAGAAAAATAGAAGACTACTACTAATAATAGTAAAAAGAAAAGAAAAGAAAAGAAAAAAAAAATTCGATTGGTGTGATCGCCACGTGTGATGGAACGACTCACTCGTTCTGAGATTATTTCAATAATGAAAATAACGATAATATATGAACGCAGTACATATATATTCCAGCAGAGAGAAAAACGAGAGAGAATGATTAATGAATTGAACATTAAGAGTAGTGACGGGTAGAATCCGTCACAATGGTCATATGAAAATAATCGATCTAAAGAACGAGAACAGATTAAAAAAATAATATAAATTTTGGATCGCTTCATTTCAGTGTAGATACATGAGGTGGATTGAATTTTCTCTTTGTCTGTTTTTTTTTATTCTACGTATAGTCTAGTTATATAAGAATGAAAAAAAGCATTCATTCGTTAGAATATTTTTATTGTCAATTGTATCACATATTTTGTCTATATACATATTAGTAGAACAGAGCGAAATATATTCTACGCTATAAGATATAAAGAAAATATTCAATGATTGTATGCTAGTATGAATTTTTTGATTTTAATTAAATAATTTCAAAGAAAAAAAACCATAAATAGTGATTGAACAAAAATATCAAGTTTGAGTATATTTTTTGGACTGTAAGAATTTTTTTTAAAGCTATACTGATTTAAAATGATTTACGCTGAGTTACAATGAGTTAAAAGCTGATTTAAAATGAGTTAAGATGATTTAACAGATTTAATTTTGAGTTTTTAGCTGATTTTTCTATCAGTGGATTACCCTCCTTGCTTCGTGATTCCTTTCAGTAAATTGTAAATATAATCTGTTTTTTTCTAGTGTCTGTGTAGTTCATTTAGATTTCTGTTGAGTATCGATGTGTGGGTATCAGTTTGATGAGACGAATTTATGATAGAAATCCTCACACAAACAGGCATACCATCATGCACAATAAGCTTGATATTAGTATCAGCATCCACACATATACTTTTTCAAATGTTGGATAATAGCTTTGTTGAGAGCTACAAAGAAGTATAAAATAGCGAACGAGCCGAATATTTAGTAGAGAATAACGCGAGTTTACAGGGAGGAACGTTGCATGTTTTGTCGCATTTACAATTTGATGAGATAATTGCAAATGAAAGTAAAACAAGAAATATGTCATATATATTTCATAGAATAATGTTTCAAAAATTCCAGAGACTCTTTCATAGATCAGCAATATAATAAAAGACATGCTTCCAAGAAAGAGATGATCCGTAAAATATCGAAAAACTAGTTTTGATTATTAAATGATTTTTATACATGAATTAGTTGCAAAATCATAGAAAAAAACCCATATTTCTCATTCAATGTCTTCACCTTTCTCATACATTCTCTATCATCCTAAACAAAACACTACAAAAAAAAGAGTTAAAAAAATAATTGTTGTTTTTAGCAAAGTTGAGAATTTGATTAAAAAAAGTTTCTCGTCTTGCAGCAATTTCGATTTCTATGAAGAGAAACCTTCTCTCTCTTATTTTAATAATTTTTCTTGTCTCTATTTTAGATTATCCATTACGTTCTCCATCCAGCACCAACATTCATCCGAATGCTCGATGGCAACAAAATGGTATCACTGTGGCTGGAGGAAATCGACAAGGCAATGAAATCAATCAACTCTCAAACCCATGGGGTTTGTATGTTGATGATAATCAAACAATCTATGTTGC